CTAGAAGCACTTTGTAGGTGTTGTTGGATAGGTTTGAAAGAATATAAAGAGCACGTAAATAAAAATTAGGGGCTGTTTAGGTAAAGAAGCAATAAAGTTAGTATAGCGAGTGTGGGAAAGTGGTGGTAGGAGTTGTGAAATTGTCCCTAAGCAATTGACTACGTTACTAGACCGATAGCAAGTTTTATGTGGGAGAGGCCACTGCTAGTATGTCATCCCTGACTTGGAATTTTATGCACTTATGATTGGAACTATTAGCAAGCATCCACAACTACTAACGTTCATTAGGGTAAAACCTAACCATAGCATTAAGATATATTGGTCCCCCTTCAATCCCGTATGCATCAATTTCTATGCTAGGTTGAAGCTTCTGTCACTCTTGCCCTCCAATACATAGTCCTATCATCACACAACTAACCCTATGGTGTGACCCACACACGCGCTCATATGATGGGCACCAAAGGACAGCAACATAATCACAAGCAAATTAAACCAATCATAGCAATTCATCAATCACCGATAGGACAACGAAAATCTACTCAAGCATCATAGGATGGCAACACATCATTGGATAATAATATGAAGCATAAAGCACCATGTTCAAGTAGAAGGTACAGCGGGTTGCGGGAGAGTGGACCGCTGAATATAGATGGGGGAAGGTGATGACGATGTTGGTGAAGATAAAGGCGGTGTTGGTGAAGATTGCGGTGATGATGATGGCCTCGGCGGCGCTCCGGCGCCACCGGAAGCAAGGGGGAGAGAGCCCCCTTCTTCTTCTTCTTCTTCCTTGACCTTCTTCCTAGATGGGAGAAGGGTTTTCCTTCTGGTCCATGGCCTCCATGGCATGGGAGGGGCGAGAGCCCCTCCAAGATTGGATCTGTCTCTCTCTCTCTCTCTGTTTCTGTGTTCCCTGATTCTGCCCTTTCACCGTTTCTTATATTCCTGGAGATCTGTAACTCTGATTGGATTGAAACCTTCGCCATGATTTTTTTCTAGAAATTAGCTTTCTTGCGGCAAAAGAAGAGCAGCAACCGCCTTACGGGGTGCCCACGAGGGTCAGGGGCGCGCCCTAGGGGGGTGGGCGCCCCCCTGCCTCGTGGCCCCCTCGGGCACCGCCTCGCGTTGATTCTTCTTCCCAAAATTCATAAATATTCCAAAAATATTCTCCGTCCATTTTTATCCCGTTTGGACTCCATTTGATATGGGGTTTCTGCGAAACATAAAACATGCCACAAACAGGAACTGACATTGGGCACTGGATCAATATGTTAGTACCAAAAATAGTATAAAAAGTTGCCAAAAGTATATGAAAGTTGTAGAATATTGGCACGGAACAATCAAAATTATAGATACGACGGAGACATATCAGCATACCCAAGCTTAATTCCTTCTCGTCCTCGAGTAGGTAAATGATAAAAAAAGATAATTTTTGATGTGGAATGCTACCTAGCATAATCTTGATCATGTAATCAAATCATGGCATGAATATTAAGACACGAGTGTTTCAAAGCAATAGTCTATCATACTTCAAGCATACTAATAAAGCCATGTCTTTTCAAAATAACATGGCCAAAGAAAGTTGTCCCTACAAATTCATATGATCTGGCTATGCTCCATCTTCACCACACAAAATATTTCAATCATGCACAATCCCAGAATTAACCAAGCAATTGTTTCATACTTTAGTGTTCTCAAACTTTTTCAACTTTCACGCAATACATGAGCGTGAGCCATGGACATAGCACTATAGGTGGAATAGAATATGGTGGTTGTGGAGAAGACAAAAAGGAGGAAGATAGTCTCACATCAACTAGGCGTATCAACGGGCTATGGAGATGCCCATCAATAGATATCAATGTGAGTGAGTAGGGATTGCCATGCAACGGATGCACTAGAGCTATAAGTGTATGAAAGCTCAAACTGAAAACTAAGTGGGTGTGCATCCAACTTGCTTGCTCATGTAGACCTCGGGCATTTGAGGAAGCCCATCATCGGAATATACAAGCCAAGTCTATAATGAAAAATTCCCACTAGTATATGAAAGTGAAAGCATAGGAGACTCTCTCTCTATGAAGAACATGGTGCTATTTTGAAGCACAAGTGTGGTAAAAGGATAGTAGCATTGCCCCTTCTCTCTTTCTCTCTCATTCATTTTTTTATTTTCTCTTTTTTTAAATTTTTTTGGTGGGCTTCTTTGGCCTCTTTTTTAAATTTGGGCTTCTTTGGCCTCTTTTATTTTTCATAAAGTCCGGAGACTCATCCCAACTTGTGAGGGAATCATTGCTTCCGTCATCCTTTCCTCACATGGGACAATGCTATAATAATGATGATCATCACACTTTATTTACTTAGAACTCAATATTACAACTCGATAAACTAATACATGATGACTCTACGAATGCCCCTGGCAGTGTACCAGGATGTGCAATGATCTAGCATAGCAAAGATATCAAAAAACGGACAAGCCATAAAAATAGCAAAGAACTTTACTGGTCTCAATTCCATAGTCCGGAGCGTCCACTTCCGTTGACTGATCGGCTGGCTGAGTGGGCTGAGCTGAATAGGTTGTCCGGACTTGCCATGACGGATGTGGTCACTCATCTGTGGCCGGAAAGGCCCAAGTCGAAGAGTTATTTTGGCTTGTTGCAGCAATTCCTTGGGGCGGTGCCGCATATCAAGGCGATGAAGCGGTCGGCATGCATAGAAGGTGCACGGATGGCTCTCGCCCGTGTGAAGACATACTGGGCGGACATGGATGCCACCGCTGTTGCATCCCGGGGTTCGGACAAGAGCCGATTACCCGCCGAGCACTATTTTGAGGAAGTCCTGCAGGGGGCTCATTTAATAGAATCGCAGTGCTCGAAAGATGTCATGTTCAAATGACGTGTATAATTTGTGAGATCATATTTATAATGCAATACTTTTTATACTTGTGCATTCAAGTATTGAACTATCTCCTGTGCGGCCGTATATGTATGAATAACCTGAAAGTTGCAGTCTTTGGCTTCAGCCCCCACGCACATGGTGTGGGGGTGTTTGCAAAAAGAAAAGCGCTTTTTCACACTTAATCCAACGTCTTGGTCCTTTTAGGGAGGTGATAGCGTAGCAAACTAGGCAACCGGACTATAATGCTTTATCACTTTCACTTAGCCATAGGAGCTCGAATGTGGGGCTACTATATAGCCCCTAGTGGCACCGCTCTTCTCCGAACTTCGGAGCGCGTATGTGCCTGACCGGGAAGTGGTCCTTCGTCAAAGCGGAGGAATTCTAAACATTCCAATGGTCGATCGAGTGGTTGACCAGTCTCTCGCTATATCATGACAGTCAGTTTTTGGCTTTCTCTACTGAGGTGCTCGCCCGGCCGAACCGGGGCACAATCGCAGTAGTTCTCCTGGTGCCGCGTTAGCCGATGATACGGAACATAAGGCAGCAAAACACAGGAGCCGGGCAAACCCAACATTTCACCCAAGACATGATTCGGAGCTGATGCATATAAGGCCTAACTCGAGACGCCGAACACTCCCTGAGGTGTTCGGTCTTTATGATACCGGGCAGAACAATGCCCTAAGCCCCTAGTGTCCAGGTACAGGCGGGAACTTCTGACGCGGCCGATGCCAAAACGCCAGCCTCCTCCTCGGCTATGGTGGGAAACCGGGGGATGTGTATCAACAAGAGACATTAAGAAAGGTTTACGCAGGGTCTTAATCTGAAAAGAATCCTTGCAACGGGTCCCTGCTGCACGTCTACACCACATGCGTTGCCTTTCCCGAGTCAACCAACAAAGGGGTATGTTCCAAGATTGTGCGAGAGAGCGCTTGGACCGTCACAAGGGGAAACTTCAGTTCTCATTCGACGCTCGCTAGGACCCGGTCCAGCTTCTCAAAGGTCGGGACTGGTAATGTGTTGGCCCAAGTGAACTTTCTAGCAGAAAGCTCAATCTCTCGAAGGTCTAAGCTTTCAATAATTATATTAAACATAAACGACCATTTGCCGTCAAAGTTATCATTGTGTTTTTCCTTCCGTCTATAGATAATGTTAAAATCACCCCCAATCAGGATTTAGTCCGTATTTGTGGTAAGTTTCAAACATGTGTCGGAATCTTTGATAAATTATGACTGAATTTGTTGCCGGCCGCAATTTCTTCTTGTTGTTTTGCACTACAATAATAGAGAGATTGTTGACACACGGTGGGTGGGTGGGTAGCTACCTTTACCCTCACGATTTCTTGGTTTTGTTCCCTGTTGACGCACGCACGCAGCTCAGACTCCCTGACTGCAGATGTGCATCTCAGGGAAGGCTCTCTGCACGTGGTGTGGTGTGGAACAAGATGATCATATCCATGGAGAAAAGGAAGAGCAGAGCAGCAGATCCCCTCACTGCACTGGTTCTCGGATATACAGATGGTGTAATCGCAGAGAAAACAAGAGGTGCGGCGTTCAGGGAATCGATCCCCTCACTGCACTGGTTCTCGGATATGCTGCTGCTCTCGTCTCTGCTACGCCTCAAGGTCAAAGGCACAATCAACCTCTCAGTCTCAGAGCTAATCTTTGAAGAAACTACACTTCAAGACATGCCATCACAGCTGAATGTTGTGTTGCACTCACTGAATCATTCATTAACATTCGGTCATCTAGTCCCTCAAGGCGTTCTGGAAAAACTCAACTTCTCAAAAAAAAAAGAGGCTCTCACAAGTATATACATAAGCAGCTGCACGCTAAATTTCAGACAGACCTGAAGCTCACTCACCCATTAGCATTAGCCAACCAAACCCAGCACCAATAGCCACAGCCAGGAAGAACACCGGTACAAGGAGGGAATCTTAAGCTGAAACAAACATCGTCACGTAGAACATTGCTGCCCCGACCCGACTGATGAAAAAAATTGTTCATCTGCAGCACAAGTGCAAATCAACCAGCTCCATTCACCACCCTTGCATCCGCGCGTCAGCTACCCTACGGTCAGCAGTCAGTCGGTCCGGTCGCCATGGCAAAAAAGATAGATCATGTCAGGAGGGACGAGACGGTGGCGGCTGCGGCGAGGCCGCGCAGCCTCTGGGCGACGCGGCCGGCGTCGAGGCCGATGCGGGGGCAGAGCGCCTGCGAGTGGACCGTGTAGAAGATCTTGTCGCCCACCACGGAGAAGCTGGCGCTGATCACCTCAGCGCCCTCCTGCTCAAGCACCGCCATCACCTCGTGCAACCGGAAGGGCCGCCCGGCCTCGCTCGCCAGCGCCACGTCCAGAGTCCCGTCCTGGTGCCTAACCTCGATCACCGGCAGCGACGCCGTAGTCTGTGGCTTGTAGTCGCCGGCGGAGACGGAGGATGAGCAGCCGCCGGAGAGGGCGGCCTGCTTGCGGCGCTTGAGGTCGTCGATGCGGCCCCGGAGCTGGTTGATGTAGGCCGCCGCGCTGTCCAGCTGATCCAGCTGCGTCGCCGCGTCCTGCAGAGGCAGAAGCAGAGCCGTCGTCGTCGTCAGATCATGCGGTTGATCAATTTGCACATACACACAAACACAAACAATCTTGTGCTTTCCACTCCCTCCGTTCCTAAATACTTGTCTTTCTAGGCATTTCAACAAGTGACTACATACGAACATACACACAAACACAAACAATCTTGTGCTTTCCACTCCCTCCGTTCCTAAATACTTGTCTTTCTAGGCATTTCAACAAGTGACTACATACGAAGCAAAATGAGTGAATCTACACTCTAAAATATGTCTACATACATCCGTATGTAGTAGTCATTTGAAATGTCTAGAAAGACAAATATTTAGGAACAGAGGGAGTAGCTAGTAGTGGCTACTTGTAGTAAAATAAAGAAAATGATCCACTGATAATCTTGTACTTGTGATCCACTGATAGACACACACAGAAGAAATTAAGTTTTTTGTGAGGAAGAGAAAGGCATGTGCCTCGAATCAGAGGATTAATCTGCCTGCAATCTTGTGTAGAGTAGGTGGGTGAAATGATTATTGTCGACAGATCTTTAGAGGATTTTGTTGACCACAAAGCCACGTGTGGAAATACTCACTATCTTGGTGTGCACGTCGCCACCACCAACCAATTTCGGACAGAAAGATAGAGAGACAGAGAGAGCACAATAATTGAGTGGACCGGGGAAGAAGTATATTTATATTTATGTGTGTGTTTTTGTTTTCAGAAAACTGGAGTATATTACGCCGCACATCTATGAGTATTCTTTATTATAAAGACAGAGAGAAAGGCAAATACTGTATTCTTTACTGTATGTATGTATGTATGTATGTATGTCACTAGTGCTTGGTAATAGTGGTGAATTAGCGGCATGAGCTGCATGCTCTAATCTGCCGAATCAACAGAAGAGGACACGACAAGAGAAGAGAAGAGAAGTGGAGGAGGATGCTTAAGGTAGGTAGTTTTTGACGTACCTTGCTGCTGGAGGGCGGCGAGGAAGAGGAAGAAGTGGAATAATGGCGGAGGTGGTGGTCTGAGGAGGAGGCGGGGAGGAGGGAGGAGAGCTTGAGGCAGAGGCCCTTCATGTGCAGCCGCCGGTTCTTCTCCACCTCCTTGCGCTCCATCTTGCTGCAACCTCCTCCTCCTCCTACCCCACCGGCGCCGCAGCCGCTGCTTGTGGTGTGGTGGCTCCCGTCCAGCGCCATGGCGCCGGCGGCGGCTCCTCCGCGGCCGTTCTGCCTCCTGCTCTTCATCGGCGTGCTGAGCCGAGTTGCGGTTGGTGTCTCTCTCTCAAGGAGGAGGGAGGTAGTGGATTGGGTTGAAGCTGGTGCTGGTGTTGGTGTAGGTGTTGGTGTAGGGATGGATTTGATTGAAGAAGGTGGGAGCTGAGGCTGAGGTGAGCTGGTGGGTGAGCTGGGGAGCTTATTTATACAGCCGGAGCGGCTTGCCCTGTTCTGTTGTGGACGGAGGGAGGAGCAAGACGGACGGACGGCGACTGATTAATAATTAAGAAAATGGAGCAAGCATGCAGCTAAAAAAGGAAAAAGAAAGATAGAAATGGAGATAGAACGAATCAGTTGAGTGGTGGTGGTCAGAGGTCAACCCCCTCTCCCTCTGGTCCGGGTCCACCGGAACGTGTTTGTTTTCGTGTGGGTCCCACCAACCCATGATCCTCTGCTTTCCCTCCACTACATGCAGCCCGCCGACCGCAAGCAGATTGTTTTTTTAACACAGTACAGACGCAAGCGTTCATATACACGCGCATACATTCACCCCTATGAACGCACAAACGCACACCCTATTTCTATGAGCATCTCCGAAATTTACAAAGTCACTATAGGCACTTCGTCTTTGACGGGAACGTCTCCTCCCACTGGATACGCATCACCGAAAATCATGAAATAAATGCGAGCACCAAGATTTGAACGATGGTGGGCTGGGGATACCACAGTCCCTCTAACCATCCAACCACAAGTTGGTTCGCCCCGCAACCAGATTGTTGATTGTTGCTGTGCTTGGCTATGTGAAATGGAGTGTGGCGAGGGTAAGGCCTTGTACAGTGGGAGATGCTTACGAATGTGCTTAGAAAAATAAACCAAACTTTTTCTAAAGCATCGGTGCCTATTTCTACAGGAGAGACACTTAGTTAAGCGTCTATGCTGTACAAATAAGCACGGGTGCCTATTTCTACATGAGAGACGCTTAGTTAAGTGTCTATGTTGTACAAATAAGCATCGCTGCTTAAAAAAAGCTTTGTTTATTTCTTTAAGCACCTCCCTAAGCATCTTGAATTGTATAAGGCCTAACGGTTCACCTTGGTTTTTGCAGCGACCGCATCGTTGTGGTGCCAATCGGTGTGGTAGCCGCTCACCGCATCGTTCGGGCATAGCGCAGTCCAGACGTATGCGCGAGGCTTGAAGGCCGCCTTAGAGTTGCCCTGAAATGCGTCAGTAGAAAGAATCAGTCGAGTGGAGTAGCAACCTCTCTGGCTCCGGGTCCCCCATAACGTGTTTGTTGTCGCGTATGCTTTCTTTCTTTATTTGAACTCCTATATGCATGATGATGATGACCGGTGCATCGTTGCTTCAAAAATTTACGCCATGATTAAGCGGTGCTTCAGGATAAGATTAGTTCCAGCTCCGTCCCTGTGTATAGACACTACGTACACAAAACACACAAACACTATCATTCACAGAAAGGAGAAGAAAAAATAAGCGGTCCAAGCAACTTTTAGCAGCTTTCTATTTATTATAAGCGGTCCAAGCAACTTTTAGCGGCATTTTATTTATTATCAAGGGGCCTGTCTTTCACAATGAGGCACCCACGCATTCCAAACCCATCCTCTAATCTATGGATCACATGGACAAGTAACAATGCCCAATTAATGATCACGTGATGATTTCCACGTCTGTCTCAACATGAGACCAAACTAGTTACTCCATGGGAAGTGGGATATGGACTGACAGGGCAGTGAGACGACTATGTATGCAGCATTGGATACATTGATTAGCTTGGGATAATCATATATATATATATATGTGTGTGTGTGTGTGTGTGTGTGTGTGTGTGTGTGTGTGTGTGTGTGTATGCAATCATTGTGGGTTCAAGGCAGAGCAACGTATTCTGTTACGCACCGGCTGATGTGACACAGGTTGTGCCTGGACTTCATATCTTTTTTTAGCATAGTACAGACACAAGCTCATCTCGATTTTATGTCGATTAGTATAACTCGGTTCTGCTTGCTTTTATTTTGGTATTTTCAAATTCCCCAAATCTTTATTTTATTGGAAAATTTTCAATCAATATTCATTTTTGTATTCAATTTCTTTTTGTCTCACTATGCTATTTTAACACTTTCTGGTGTTGGAGTTAAGAGGCCAAAAAAAGTAAAAATTGAGGGAACATAATTTCGTCACATCACTATTGGGCCAGCACCCTAAAACGGCATACTCTAAGCAACGACGGAATAGCTTAAAACGATGCATGTCCTGTCAATTTAAGCTTTTTCTATCAAGAGATTTGTGTAAGGTTTTTGTTTTGTTCGGAAAAGTTGCTTCGTGTAAGCTAAGCCAGGACAAAAAGAAAAACTACTGTAGATAAGGCGCAAAGCGCGTACAGTACAGCCACGCGATCAGGGCCGGCAAATATTTTAATCGCACCTTGATCCTGAAATCTCCACTGCTATGATACCGACGCTGATATAGTTTCATAATGAGACAGAGCACACATGCAGGATCAATGTTAGCGCGTTCAGCAGAGGGTTGACAGATTATAAAATTGTGGTTTTGCCGTTTGGTCGCCACGAGCTATACAAAATTATACGTATGTCTACTTGCATTCACACTTTATGTAATGTACACCTGACTGTGACGTGTATAGGAGTTGTCAATTCACCTAATTTAAGCACTTTAGTATTGCTAGTGGCAATTAATTTATTAATTTTAGATTTAGTTGTGGCAATTAGTTAACTAAAGATGTAGTAATGTGCTTATGGTTTCATCTGAAGTAATTAAGATGGCAAGAGTGACACAGTAAAAATTTACTTAAGCAATCACATGCGGCATTTTAGTGGACTTTATACTCATCCGCGCACCAACTCAGCCCAGAAAAGATCAACTAAACATGCCATAATTTAAAGTCGTAATCTCACGATCTTTTGATTAGGAAATCATGTCTGTGTGTGTCACAGTGATGCCGAGGCTGTGAACCCTCTTTTACAAAACAATCATGTCAAATTTGACACTTTGTAAAAGTTAACATTGTTATCCAAGTGCAATATTTCTCCATTTAAATCTATATGGGGGCTGATCCACATGTCGTCTTGCATTAAGTTACATTTCACCTTTTACAAAGCTATTGTTGTCTGAAACAATCACAATCCAAAAGAATTACTGATGTGGAAAAAATAATACGGCAGTCAAATTCCACGCGCCAAATAAAAAATGTACAAATGGACGTGTAGATTGATTCCCAATCACCCCCTTGTGACGAGGAAGAAAGCGAAGTGGAGCGGGCCCAAAGGCCATCACATATTCATTCAGCACGTTTACATGCATACATCGGCCTAGCTCTCCCTTTCATCCATCACTTATCTTTTCTTTTGGAACATGAGCATCAATATATTTGGTGAGTCAATAGATAGTATAATCATTTGTTAGGCACGATTCATACTTTACTAAATCTTTCTATCATACGCACCCCAACATCCACATATATTTCGTAAAAAGTTTTATTTGTTTGGAAACCAGAATTTACTTTTTGTCAAAGAATTATTAACTTGGATGTCAATGTCAGGACAAAGTCTTGATGTTGAAGGTATTTGTTCCTTTCCCCAATAAATTTGTTCTCGACGTGCAAGTGCAAAATATATGTAGTCTGAAAAAGGCCTCATGCGTCCACGAGGTTGAATTTCTTTAATCTGGCTAGAACCACCAGCTAACTAAGGAATTAATATTTATATGTGGTGGCGAAATTGCGGCCGTTTAGTTAAATAATTATTGATAAGTCACACTGCTCTTTTGGTCCCAGCCGCGCGGTCTATAATCGGGATACATATTGCACAACTCATGGATTTTTTTCATGCATCTCCAACATGCAATTACACAACCAAACATTTACCATAATTTAGATATCGAGCAATTTGTACATGGAGTGCACTCCACATATTTATTTTCCAAAAAAGTTCTCCAGCGATGTACTAACACAGATGCTATTGGTTGGAGAGGCTGCATGCACCGATCGAGAAATATCAATGGACACGGTATGATAGCCCAAAACATGTTAATATAAATTATAGATAATAGATCGAAGGTTGATCAATTTTTTTTCATAGATTGATCATGTTGTGAGTTCAACACATTTACTACTCCCTCCGTCCCATAATGTAAGAAGTTTTTTGACACTATACCAGTGTCAAAAAAGTCTAATATTATGGGAAAGAGGGAGTAGCTAATTAAGGTGTTTTCGTCCTTAATGATAGTCATTAATGAGCACACATCATGTATCATTCGTGGGATGTTTATTTATACAGTTAAGTGGTTTTTTTTCCTTCTTTTTACACAAATCATCGACTTACTATCACACCAATGCCCCCATTCGTTCATAAATTCTTGAAACATCTATGCCAATTCTGGTGCTGAAGGCCTGCACAATAACAAGAGAGAGATTTATGAAATTTGTTAACTTAATTTGATGCAAAGTAGGTAACTTTATAGTTTGATATTTAGATAGAAATCCTCCATCACAATATGCTATTTTTTGCAGCCGCATCTAATTGAATTTAGCACATACATTCTGGCCACAAGAGAGGGGTAAAGAAAGATGGAAATCAATTCGAACTTCTAGGCTAGCTTTCCCCGTTCTTTCGTTTCTTTCTATCGTTCTACAGCCTAAGAAAATGATTGGAGAGGAATCTATAGCTCAGCAGTTTCACATACGCACAGGGTCTCTCTTATATTTTCTTTTGTGCCTTCTACTTGTATATATGTTGCTATTTCAGTTTAATGTTACCTTAGAAACTAACATTACCCGTCAGATGAGTATGAACACATACTTTTTATAAGGCTTTCGATCCAAGGTTCCAAAAAGGAAAAAAAAAATATTTTGACACAAAAATCATTTCAATCAGCAAATAATGCTTTTAATGATACAATTTTCATGCCACATAAACTATATTTTATTGGTATAATTAATTATTGGTCGAAATATTAATCGTAGGACTCGTGCGCGCATTACGTTTTGCAGTGTATGTATA